GGCGAGCGAGGGCTGCTGGACGCCGTCTGAGCACCTACCTTCTGCATCTGGGGGTCCTGCTGCTCTGAGCAGTTCTCGCTTCCTCCTGGAACTTTCTTGCATGTTGTCCGGGCAATCTTGGCTTCAACGAGGTAATCCAAGCTATCCGTGATCTGCCCGAGAGTAATTTAAGGTCAGACCTCATGAAAGAGTACGTGGCGTCCGTGATCAAGTGGCTAAACCAACATGCCGTCCCTGCTCAGCACAGAGGCTGTTTCTCCCTCCCTCCCTCCCTCCTACGGCTGTTTTTTTTGTCAGAGTCTTGGGGTAACAAGGGCTGGTCGTACCTCGATCTCTGTTTCCCAGTCTCTCTTGTATTTAAAGTATCTGCTGAGAGTGTATTGCTTCCCCCTGAAGCTTTGGCTGTTGACAATCCACCCCGACTCCACGCGGCACACCCCCAAATCCCTGACTCTCCGCATCTTCCCGCACCCCCAGCCCCGCGGGCCCACCTCCATCCAAGGAGGGCCCCTGTTCTGGCCTCTTTGAACCTGTTTCTCCTTGATTCTTTTGCATCCTTATCTGCATTCAAGAGCTGGCAGAGCAGAGAAATAAAATGTACGTTCATGAAAAGAACTAGCAAACAGCACGAAATGAGACCTAAGTTTTGGGACACGTGGGTCTCTGGTCTGTTTTATTACTGAATCCCTGTCTATGAGGCAGGACCCACCATTTCTGTTTGATAAATGGGGAGAACAGGGAAGGAGAAGCCCCGGGAAGCGGGCCGGTCCTGGGACGGGGGAGCCTCATGAGGAACGGGTGCCACGCTGACACCCGTGACGTCCGAACTCGGCAGGTGACCACTGCCTGCGGACACGGACGACAGAGCCGGGGCCGCACAGGGGACCGGGGGAGCCCAGGACCCACCACTAGAGCGGGTGAGGCTGCCGGTGTCCGGCCTCTTGTGGGGTGGAGGCATTGCCTGCACCTTCCGACCACACGAGAAGGCAGGAAACGGGCAGGTTGGTGGTGACAGGAGGGCAGAGATGCAGGTCGGGCCAGGGTCACCTACAACCCGGGCTCTCCCCACGCCTCGGGCTCCAGCAGACCGGCCTGCCCGCCAGCTCCGGCCCCTGCGAAAACCACAGGACAGCTCTTCCTCAGGAAACACAGCGTTGGTTCAACGTGCTCTTCTAAGACACAGTCCGTGTTCAGACCCCTCCCGCTGTCCTCGCATCAGCCTTTCCAGCATTGTTTTAAGTCCAAGAGGCAATACAGAACCACCCCCGGCAGTTATCCCCTTGTCTCCTAAGCCTCCCTGAATGGAGCACTGTCCCCTGCTCCCCTGTCTCACGACACTAATCCTTCCAGTGGGGCTCGGAGACGCTAACGGCCCTCGTGATTACCGCCGGGGGTGCGTCTGGGGTGCCCTTCCAGTGACGCCGCATCGGAGGCGCGTGGCGTTCAGTTTGCCCCGGTGTTGGCACGGGCCTTCGGGGAGCGAGGCCCCCGGGCATCCTGGCTGTAGTTACTCAGCAGGGACTCCCTGCAGGGGTTCTCCCTCCCACGCTGTCCCCGCGGGGGGAGGGTCACTGCTGGCCTCTGCCCGAGCCCCTCATGACCTTGGTGGTTGCCAAAGGTGATGCTCGAGTCTCACGGTCGTTCACAGCTGTAAGCAGGCACTTTTCTATAGAGAAGAGCTTCCCTTCGGCCCCAGTTCCTTTTTCGGTGAAAGCTGGACGTGGAGTTTGTTTGCTGGTTTGCTGTGTCACAAGCCACCCCCGCCCACACGACCCCTGTGAATGAGGTCCGCTCAAACTCCCAAAAACGACCCCTCCAAGGGCCCTTCTAGGCCCTCACCTGCGCCTTCTGATGTGATGGTGGCCAACTCTAAGTTATCTTAATGGATGTGCTGTATTTTACCCCAGAATTGTATGGGAGGAGATTTAATCGATTTTCTTCCCCAATCCCCTAAAATAAAGTTCACATACTTTGGCTCAGGGCCTCTCTCAGCTGCTCCCCACGTCAGTGGGCCTGCCTCTACCACAGGCCCGGAGACAGAGGGGGAGCCAAAGCCACCAACCTGCTCCTGGGACTTCAGGATCTCCACCACCTTGAAGGCGAACTTGTCCGAACTGGCTTTGTTGTACTCCTTCATGGCGAACCACACAGCCTGCTGCACGTACACGTAGGACTTCGGGATGTCTTGGAACTTCCTCACCACCTTCGGCGTGCCCCAGGCGTGGGCAGCGCTGGACGCCAGGGCCACAGTGGCCACCAGGAGCAGCAGGCTGGGGCAGAGCCTGGCCATGACAGGCCAGCCAAGGGGCCCTGGGCCAAGTTTCTTCTGTCCTCCCAGGCCTGGGGGGCCCTGCCCTGTTCTGCTGCGAGTGAAAGGAAAAAACTGCTGTAACATCATCTTCCCCACCGAAAGCAGCTGCCTGCAAAGTGTGCAATTCAGTCCAGTTTCCCATCTTGGTTGCTTCCTTTCTGGGAGGATGCACATCTCCGTGCACCCACGTGGTGGAGGTGGGCACACACACACACACGCATACACACACTCATGCACACGTCCGCGCACACGCACACACACGAGCACATGCACACGCGCGCACACACAGACTCATGCACACGCGCGCACACACAGCTGTTCTTCCTGCTGCTCGGCCCCCAGCCCTTGTTTGCAAGGCCCACGTGTGCCCAGCACGCACAGGTCTGCACGCAGACAGCACTGGACCTGCGGCACACACTGCCCGGGGAGAACGTGGCCTCTACACCCTCCTTCCCCTTGTCTCCTTCCCAGCACGAGCATGGAGACCTCACACCGGCTCAGGCGGCTTTCTCTGGTCGGGCTGGTGAGCGACGCGCTGGCATCCGTCCCCGAGCACCAGGGAGTCTCGCTGGGCCCTCGCCGCTGGGGGACGTCTCATCCCCACCGTCCCCCCGAGGCTGGGAAACCCTTCCCACAGGAGGAGTGTCTCTGGGACCGCCCCGTCGCAGTCTGACCCACGCGCACAAGGGACCACAGCCGACCCAGTGTCTGCTTTCGAGGCGGCTCCTTCTGCAGGAGAAACTCATCAAGGGCGGCTAGTGAGGCCGAGGCCCAGGGGCCGATGTGTTAGGTGCAAACCAGGAGCAGGCAAGCGGCTCGAGACAGGCTGGGTCCGGGGGTGCGCTCGCCGCAGAGAAGTAAGGACAATATGTCCAAGCCAAACAGAGGGCGTGATGGCGAGACCAGGAGATGCCTGGTAGCTGGCAGACACACATGACACCGAACACTCACAAGGTCTCAGCTCAGATGCCCGCCGGGGATGCGCTCTGGCCCGCGCCCTCTGCCCAGGAGTCGCCAGCCAGACCCTCACCGCTGGAGGCCGACCGGGCTGCACACCTGCTCAGAGTGCACATCACTGCCCTGCAGGGAGGCTGGTGCACAGGGGATGCCATGCCCGGGGCCCAGCTCGTCCCGTGGTCACCTGCGCTCTGGCTGCCCTGCCCCCCGCTGGATGGCAAGCGCTGACGTCATACCCATGGGGCTCGAGCTGCTGACTCCCGCCCCGCGGCCTCTGCAGTAATTGCCCGGGTCATTCCTGCCCAGCACAGCTGCACCCAGACCCACCTAAGCACCCAGCCCCTCTCCACTCCCCGGCTGGCAGAGCTCCAAGCGGCCGCCAGCCGCAGCAGGTCCTCCTCCTTCCTGAGGACCCGAGCTCGCCGGCTCCTGTCCCGTGGCCCGCGTGCTGTCTCCAGCGTGCTCAGTTCATGGCCCAGGGGCTGAAGTCGGGGTGCATCTGCCCTCCCACCAGTGGTCACCTCTGTGGCCCCTTTGTGATGTCAGCCCTGCCCCTCTGATGCTGCGTGAGTGACTGGCTCCCTGACAGGGGCCCCTCTGGCTCAGAAGTCCACAGGCTCACGGGAGCCACCTGCCCCAGCACAGAGTTCCACGCCTGCCGACTGCTCACATTTCTAGAAGTGCTTCGGGTGGAGCAGCGGGAAGCGAAACCCCTCCAGGGCGGTCCTGTCGTGTGACCCTGCGGCTTAGAGACCGGAGGAGGCTCCGTCAGCCAGGCGCATGGGGCCTGGGCTGCGAGGCCCTGGAGGGGAGGCTGCGGGAGGTGCCCAGGCCAGAAACGTGGAGTGGAAGGCGGGCAGCAGCGGTGCAGGTGTGACTATCCTCTGAGGGTGAGCGGGGGACCGATCCCCGCTGGCCTGTCAGCTGTCCCCACCCAGCCTCCAGCCTTGTCCAGGGCAGGTAGACCTTCCCTTGTCGGATTTCCTTTCCCGTTTGTGATTCTCGGGGCCCAAGCCAGGCTCCCTGAGGGTCGGAGCTCCAGCCCGCTCTGCACGGAGGGCCTGGCTCGGCCGCAGTCAGGAGCTCCTGAGAGCTCGGAAGCTGGGAGAGTGTCCCCAGGACAGGGTACAGGTGAGCATGGGCAGGAGCCTACCTGACCCACAAGAAAATTCCACACAGAAAGCTGGCCTCTCGGGCCGACGAGGCCCCTGCTAAAGGGCCGGTGTCAGAGACAAGTCCCGTGCTTGGCCTCAGCAGCCCTGTCTGAGCTCGTCAGAAACACAGGAGCCAGAGCGGAGAGTGACAGACCTGGGGCCACAGTTTGTACGCACACACCCCTCTCCCCGACCGCCAAGGGAGGACTGGGAACACAGAACAAGTTACTTGAAAGATATTTGGCAACAGGCTAAATTCCCTTTTATTGAAAAAGCTCTTTAAAACCCCAAAGAAAAGACAGTTTCCTCAGAGAACCCACATCCTTCTGTGAATTCCGCAGGCCCACACGGGAAACATCCCTGGTAAACCCTGAAAAGCTGCATAGTCGTCAACAAGATGCACCACATCCAGAGTTTTATTCCACAGAAATATTTGCCGACGTGCACAAAAGCGGGTGGGGGCACGGTTTTCTGGGCTGGAGTAGAGTAGTCATTGCCTAAATGTTTCGGTCTGGATACACCCTGTCCTGGACCTGTGGCTGGAGAGAGCAGGCTTTGGCTGGAATGAGGGAGAACAGAACCGTTCACAAGAAGGCGTCCTCCCCAGCTGTGTCCACGCAGGCCCATCTCGCCAGCCCCAGCGGCCGCAGCGGCCCCGGCAGGGTTTAGGTGAAGGGGAGGGGCGTCCGCGGGTCCTTGGTGTGCAGGGAGCCTCACAAGCGGCCTCAGAGGCGGCGCCTATGGAGCGAGCATCACACTGAAACTGGTCCCGGGAGGCAGAAGCCTGGTGGGCCCGCGGCTGAACCGGGGGTCTTGGCTCCATGGTTACGGCCATCGGCACCTTCACCACTTCCTGATGTGGACAAGTGGGGCTCATTCTGACATAAGCCGGGGAAAGCAGCTCAGGACAGATCCTGGCCTCCCCTTCCACCCTTACTGCTACGGGGGAGCCCCCTGCGGAAACTCTGGAGCCGCCCGGGCGGTGGGGCCAGATAACGTCACTGAAATAAGTTCCTCGGAGATTTATTTGTCCCTTTGTCTCTCCACTCTGACCACCACCCCACAAAGCTCCCCACCGTCCACCCTGCCTGGAGGCAGGGCAGCCCATCTCTCTCCCAGAGAGAGGCCCCCATGAGACGCTGCGCCTGAGGCTCAGACCCCGCCCCGAGGGGCCTGGAAGGAAGTGGTGCCACCACCTTCCTCGCGTCTGCACTCACCGACCACCAGCCAAGGCAGAGGCTGAGCGAGGGCAGCAGAAGCCAGGACGGGGCCCAGCGCAGCGGGATTCCCGGGAGGCGCCAGCCGGGGCCTGACCCCTGGCTCCGGTCCCAGTTTGGGAAAGGTGCCTGTCCTCACCGGCACTCAGCCAGGCTGGGAGACTCGGGATTCCAGCAAAGCTAGCCTGACTGCGGCCACGCCCTGAAGGCCTGCTCCAGGGGTGGCTGAATCGGGGAGCCCTGCAGAAACCTGCCTTTTGGCAGGAAGCATGGGGGCCTGTCCCCAGGACTTTGGAGCGGTTCTCCGTTCTGCAGCCTGGCTCTGGCTTCTCCTGTGGGTGAAGTTTGCCATGACACTGAGCAAGTGGAAGTTAGTCCCACGACAGGGCAGATTCCTCATCTTGGCAGCAGCACGGAGCCACATTCTGGCTTTTTCCACCGGCAAGGGTGGGTGGGATGGTGAGTGACTGCAGAAGAGGCTTCTTTCGTGCACATGGAGTTTCTGCACAGGGAGGGGCAGGCAGGGTTCTGGGCGCCGCACACGTGCAGACCTCGGGGTGAGCCCACCGCGTCGGGAAGCTTGGGAGCCCGTCGCTGCAGTGCCTGTGGTGGGGGCGGCGTGGGGCAGGGGACGAGCTCTTTTCCTCAGAAGGGCCCACAGATTCACATGCTATCTGCCCGGGGTGCACGCTGCAGCCGCGCCTGGTGTCCTGATAAAGCCGGAGACTCCCACACCCACGCCCTCCCCGTTGTCCGGTCCAAGGACACTGCGCTTCGGACAAGAGCACTGCAGGTTGTTTCGTCCCTGGCCCACTTTGAAGCTGCAACAGTTACACTGTGTCAGCTCAAGAATGACAGTGACCACAGAACTAGCACTTTTCTATCTCTACTGGGACGAGGTTGGCAGTGAGAAGTGGGAGGAGGCAGCAGAGGCCAGGGCTCAGGTCTCTGCTGCCTAGGGTCCCCCAGGCCACTGCCCGGCCTGACCCCAGCAGGGACCCGCAGGTGTAAGCGTCCAAGCATTGACTGACAGCTGGGCCAAAGCATCACCCCTCCCCCGTGAGAAGTGCCAGCCCCGCGTCCCCTCCCCCGCCCTGGTCCCAGCACCTCTCAGAGAGGCAGGTGTGCTGTTCTCCAAGGTAAAGGTGAGCAGACGAGGCCCTGGAGGTAGAAGGTGGCAGAGCTGGGACGAGAACCCCACTTCCTGCGCCGGCCTGAGGCCGTGGCCCTGCCCTTGCAGGGGCCAGCGCCTGCGGTGCAGACCCGCCTGTGTCTGGGAGGTGGCTGCACGTCGCCCCTGGCCTCGCCCCCCGGCCAGGGGGCTCCTGCGGCCCCGCCAGGGCCCAAGGCTCGCTTCCCTGTGCACAAACATACTGACGTCTGGGAAGGGAGGCTGTCACCCAGGACTGGTCCCGGGTGGCCAGGCTCTGTGCAGAGACGGTCAGACACTGCGGCTTCCGGGCTCCACCTGCCAAGCCTGGCCCACAGCTCCTCCGCGCGTGCTCATGCCCCGTGCACTCTGGCCTCCACTCCCCCCACTTCCTGGGGATGCCTGCCTTCCACCACAGAGGCCAGGCCAGTGGCTGCAGGGAGGAGTTGGGCAGCTGCCCAGCACCGGGGTGGGGAGCACTGAGGGAGGGGCAGGGCGTGTGAGTGCCCGTGTGGAGCGTCTCTGCTGACAGGCATGGGGCCACAGTAGACCTGCTGCCGGGTGACTGGGCGGTGCGCGGGGTAGAGCTGGGGCATAAAATGTTATGGGCCGCATGGGCGCACGAAGGCACACTTGGTCCCCACTGGCGTCATCAGTGGCCTGCACAGGTGTCGTCCAGGCCCTGCAAGTCGCCTCTCCTCCTGGACGATCCACCAGGCAGTCTGCAGGAGAGGACGGTTCCTCGGGGAGGAGTGAGGCTCTCGCTGGCCCTGGGTGAGGCTGGCGGCAGCGAGCTGACCCGCACATCCAGCAGAAGCTGGTGAGCTGGCCTCCCCACTGGTTAGGCTCACGTCCGCTTGATTCACCTTTGGCCGTGAGAGAGGGGGACGTCCGCTTGGTTTCAGTTTTGTGACAGCAGCACCCACAGGTGGCCCTGGTGGAGGGGCGGAGCTGGGAGGATGGGCAGGAGCCGTTTTGGCCAGGCCAGTGCAGGACCCGTCTCAGTCCCAGGCCTCCGGGGCAGACGTGCCATTCACCACCGAGGCCAGCACGTGGGCACAGGACCCCCCATCAGCAGAAGGGCCCCATCTCTCACCGACCCCAGCTGGTCATGCAGGTTGGGCCTCCTGGGCCTCTGCTCTGGCCACAGCCCGGCCACTCCTCCCCTCCCTGCTCCCTGGCCAAGTTCCTCTGTTTCTCAGGAGCGAACCTGAATCTATCCCATGAGCCTCGGAAACAGAGTGGTCTCCTTGTTTCATTCACGAGGTCGAGGGGGAGCAGCCCCCTTCGCTGGCCTGGGTCCATTCCCAGGGCTGGTCCACGCGGCCACACCCCCAACCCCACACAGGGTGGACGCTGGGGGCCACTGCACATACTGCCATCTCCGGGTCCTGACCCTTTGCCCCAGGCTCCTTTGGAGACCCTAGAAGTGCACCTACTGGGTCTCTGTGTACCGAGCACATAGGAAGGGGACCCCTCCAAGGTGCACACAGGCCATGAGCCTGCCCCCTCCCGCCCTGTTGTCTCCCAGTCCAGCACACACACCTGCACACACTCCTGCACACACAGACACATGTGAACACTGGGCTTCCTCTTTAGGCTTTACTGCCCTCACCCCTCCCTCTCTGTGACCACCGTTGACATTTACAGCAAAAGATACACCAATTCCCCCAGTTCACAGAGACCCCGGGGGGAGGCGCTGCTTCTGCCAGGGGCACCCCAGCCCGCCTAGGTGACCCGGCCCTCAAGCCAAAGGACGCCTCCCAGGGGCACCTGGGAGTTGGTACCCACTGGGCTCAGGCCCCTGTGAGGGGCGGTACCCATCACAAAGGGATTCCCCCGAGACGTCAGTGGGAGAGAGAGTCAGACCTTACCCCCGACCACCTTATGCTCAGCGGCAAACGGTCCTTGTTCCCGGTGGCGGTGCACCGCGGACTGCACGGCGGGCGAGCAGTCTCCCCCAGGCCAGGAAGGAGGACTGGGACACACCCATCGTTCGCCACCACCTGATGCGAGACTAGGAAGCAAAACAGCAAGCCACGGGCAGCGGTGAGGAGAGCGTGTTGCTGAGAGCGCGCATGCCGGGCTCCTGGCGCGGAGGAGGGGCCGCGGCGGGGCCCAGGGCCCCTAGACGTCCACGCACTCTTTCCTCATCACGGTGAAGTCGCTGTGCCAGGGGAGCGCGCCCACCAGGAAGGTGCACCTCTGAATCTGAAAGAGACCAGCACCACGCAGAGCTCAGCAGCGGCCGCGAGAGAAGGCAAGGTGCCGGGCGTCAGCTTAGGAAGACGGTCATCAGCCCAAGGGCGGTCCCCGGGAGCCTGCTGGCTGGAGGCGTCAGGCCTTACATGCAGGGACCTGCAGGGGCCTCGGTCCCCACTGCCCCGCCCACCGAGGGACAGCAAGTACCAATAATCATATTTTGGGGGGAGACTGGATGCAAAGCTGATTTTGTTTTTAATTCTCACGAGTATTTTCTACAGCGTAAGCGCCGCGGTTCTGTGCCAGGCACAGCGTGATGTGGGTAATCGTAAAGCCCCATAACGCCCTGGGCCCTGGTAACGCGTACACCAGGGAAGAGCAATGTGGCGGGTTCTGGGGCCGAACGGACCTTTTCCTCCAAAGGCCGCTTCTCTCCTTCTCGAAATGCCGCTGAAATGACAAGTGAAATGTTCCATGCGTGGGTCACAGACGGGTGCACGGGGGCAGGGACGGAGGATGGGGCCAGGCAGGTAGCGGTCCTGGAAGACAGCGAAGGGCATCTTCCATCGCTGCCTGGAACCACGGAGGCACTCAGCACCCCAGGGTGGCAGGGAGGAGGGCTTAGGTCCCTGTGGGTCCTTGCCACGTGCAGAAGGGCATTACGCGCCGCCTCCTCCCACAAACCCGCAAAAAACACCAAGTCATCAAGCCCTGGGACCCCAGACCTCCTTTGGTCTTTAATGGAACCAGATCACAGAAATGATGGAAAGCCTCATTCTCATGACACCAGACCAGAGAAACCCTGGAACCAAACAGAACTGAGAAACCAATTATAACCCAAACTCCCCGACTAAATGGAGCACCCTAAAACGCCAGCAAATGAAGGGCGGCCGCATATCAAACAGTCATTGTCCCTAACGCAGGGTGCTCCAGCGACACGACGGGGGTGGGGGGTGTCTGGACCTGACGTTCTGGTTCAGTAGTTTGGGACGAGGCCATGAACCTTGTGTGTGTGTGCGCGTGCGTGCCCTTGTGTCTGCGTGCGTGTGGGGCCACATTCTCCACACTAGGGAAGTGTGAGCACTTCGTACACATAAAAGCAAAGTTCCTACATGGACAGTGGTTCATGGCCCCCTGCACCCTAAGCCGCAAGAAGAGACACCCCCGCCGACCAGCCGTCCCTCCCAGCCTGGCCCCGCAGAACGGCGCCCACAAAGGGAGGGGACCCGAGGAAGGGGCCGACCTGCTGTCACCCAGGTAACGCTAACTCCAGTTAGTGGAGTTACGTAAAATGTAAAAATACAAAATATGAACTGAAGCCAATCATACCTCAACATGCACGAGCGTATCCCCGGGTGGCCCTCCGGAACCGCGCCCCCGCACCCACAGAGACCTGGACATTCGCCATCAAAGACACAGGAATGCCAGGTGTGCACGTGGACAGCAGGCTCCACAGAGCCGAGCGGGTCAGAGGAGCAAGGAGCCGCCCCACCGCGTCCACGCGCAGCCGTCCAGGACCTTGAAGAGGTGCAGACTCACCAACGAGACCCACACCCGGGCTCCCTGTGCACCTGTCGCCACCGTCAGTCAAAGCGGGTGAGAACTAACCCTGACGTTCGAGTCAGGCTGGAGAACTGCCAGGAAGGGACAGGTGCTCCGTGTCCCGGACGGGGAAGAAGGGCTCGCCGTTGAGGAACCTGCTGTTTCAGTCTATTGCACGAGTGGGTCAGAGGAGAAGGGCCACTTACTGTGCGCGTGCAGGTGCTGAAAGGAGAACTCCTAGAAGGAAACACTCTCGACTGATTAATTTTTTAAATGTTATTCTTATTGTTTTTAATGGAAGTGCTGTCTTGAGCCCAGGAACTCGTGCAGGCTAAGCTTGACTTGCACTTGACCTCTGAGCTAGTCCTACCCTCTGAAACATTCTTAATTTAAAAAATAGTGAAACGAGTGTTGAAGGAATTTCAGAAATCAACACGACAGAATATTTAGTGACGACGTAAATACTGCAAAGAACCCCACTGAGTCCAGGAGCGCGAGCGGTGGCCAGCGTCGCTCCCTTTCCGCGCGACTCGAAACACTTGGAGAGAAGGAGGCGAGGTTTTCCTCACTGATAAACGTGTTGCGTGAAGACCTGGTCTCACACCCGAGGTGGGCCACGGGAACGGCAGAACAAACGAGCCCCTTGGAGACAATTCTCCTCCCTTCTCTTGAGTGTTTTCTGCAAATAGCTAAAAAGCAACAACCTTCCTGCAACCACAACAGCCCAGCAAAAAACAGAAATTGAAACCACCACACTCTGCTTCCGGGAAAAGACAAAACCGACATAAAAGATGGGACGGCCCAGACATACTGCTGCTGGAAGTGTCTGTCGTGCCGGGCGTCTGCGGCTGCAGTCAGCAGACCTGCTCACGGGAGCTCACGGACGCAGTTCTGGGCACAGGTAACCACGGGCACCGGTCAGCGGGCCCTGTTTCCCGCGCCGAGACTCTCCAGGTGAGGCACCGAGGCCCGAGCAGCTCCCCTCGTCCTGCCGGGGCTTGTTAGCAATGCCAGCTCTTGGGTCCCAGCCCAGACCCACTGAATCAGACTCTGCAGGTGGGACCTCGCTGTCTAAACACCAGGAGTGATGCTGACCTCAAGGAGGAGGTCTGGGTACCCCGAGTTCTGCGGGGGGCTCAGAGCAGCCAGGGCCACCGCGGACGGTTGGTTTGCACCTGCCTCCTCCGGCCTGGGGTTTCCCTTCGGGACACAGCTCTCGCTGCCTTTGCAGAGCTTCCTGCAATTGGTGCGGGCAGTGTCGGCCTCGATGAGGTTTTCCAAACAATCCGTGACCTGTTGATGGGCAATCGTGTGGCTTTGCTCAAAAAAGCTTTATTTTACTTTTGAAAGTTTCAGCAAGCCGTAAACAACTTCTGCCCCCCGTGTCCTCTCTCCCCAAACACACCTTTAGCGGGGGGTCTGTGGCACCCACCACATCCCGATGCCCTGGTCTGGCCCCACCGGGTGCCTGGGGCGGCTCCTCGAAGGCGAGACCTCCTACCTCCAGGGTGTGGGGTGCACATTTGCTGCCGCTGGTACCAGGGACCCCCACACCCGCCCTCCTAGCCTGGCCTCGGTCTGGGCCACCAGGTGCAAATGCACCAACCAGGGGAGGCGCCTTACCTGCAGGTGGACTTGTAGCACCTTGACCACCTGGAAGAGGTGCTTCTCGGCGCTCTCCCTGTTGAACTCCTGCATGGCAAACCACAGGCACTGCCTCACGTTGGCACTGGAGGGGCTCACTTTCTTCAATTCTCTCAGCACCTTGACTTTCATATTGTCGAGGTCCGCGCTGTCCACCAGGGCCAGCGGAATGGTGAGCAGGAGCAGGCGGGCCCCCCAGGGTCTGGTCATGGTCCCTCTGTCCAGGGACCGGAGGTGGGCTTCCTTGGCGTGTCAGGGCTGGAGCCGCAGGTGGGGTGGGGTGGCCGCTGCTCCCGCGCAGGTTCACAGATCTTGCTGTGAGAGCGTCAGCCCAGCTGGATTGAGACAGAGCCGTCAGGGCTACCCGGGGGGCACCATCTGTCCTCCAAGGAGCCCCCCCCACAGGAGCCAGTGAAGGGCGCCCCACCGGCCTCCCGCCCCACTCATCCGGGGTGGGTCGGCGGCTCCAGCGACAGCACTTGGACTTGGGGTCCACACCTACCCTGAGTGCCTCACCGCCTACTCCTATTTCTGCGTCTGTGCAACCGTGAAGGCTGTGGCTGCCCTGAGTCTTCCTGCTCTGGCCCCCTTTCCAAACTGCTGCCCCTCCTGTGGAGTTGGGTGCTGACCCAACCCCTGCCCGGGGTTCTCCTGGGAACCAGCACTTCCAGCTGCCCCCAAGCCCTGGTCGGGGCCTCCTGCTCCTGACCCCTGGTCTGTCTTCACCTTCTGAGTCCACGCCCCGCAGGGACGTCACACTTTGTGATGTAATCCTGCACCTGCAACCCTGCCTCCGGGAGGGCACCTCTGCCTGCCGGCCACTGGCCCTCGGTCCAGGCAGCTCACGCAGTGGACGAGCACCTCCTGCCCTCGTGGTGGAGGGTGCCCCAGCGGTCTCCTGCCCACCGGTGCCGTGACTCTGGACTCCCTCTGCTGTCCTGCCGAGGGCCGTGGGTCACAGCCCGTCCTGGTGCCCAGGCCTTAGGACAAGGGGGCACACTCTCCCCAGGGCTCTCCGAAGCTCTGCTTCCCTGTGAAAGTCCAGCACATTCCGGGGGGTGCAGAGAGGTGGGCACGGTCCCAGGATATGAAGGCTGCCTGGCTCCTGATCTTGAGCAGTGTGTGGGAAGCGACAGCCCCCACCTTGCGGGTGGGTGGCCCTAACCACTGCTGGTGGGAACCCGCCACGTTGCCCTTCGACTATCGATGGAGGCTGGTGTTTCTCATGGTCAGCCGCTACAAACACCTTTCCAGTATCTCCGCAGAGTTACACAGGTGTTTCCGTATTGGCGAATTCTCAATAATGTTGGAAAATGCTTATAAAGAAAAGGTCATGCACAAGATGCAAAACAGTGAATATGATCCAATTCTTCATAAATACAAATGTAATGAAAAAACATAGGAGAATCGGGGGGGAGGGGAGAGCTCAGTGGTAGAGCACATGCTTAGCATGCACGAGGTCCTGGGTTCAGCCCCCAGTCCCTCCATTAAGGTAAGTAAACCTAATTACCCCCCGCCCGCCCCACAAAAATCCCAAAGAACAAAACAAAACAAAACGCAGGAGAATCCATCACACTGTGTCATGTGGGCGGCCTCTTCATCCTCATCCCTCGCAGCCTCTCCCACCTCCAAGCACCAGGCACAGCTTCCTCTCGGGGGCTTGGGGTTCCTCCCTCCCCTCCACGCAGCCACTCATCCTGGTTCATCTGCCTGCAAGTCTCAACACAGACCCCCAAACCTAAAGTGCCTCTCCCCGCTGCTCCCTGCTATTCCCCGCTGCTCCCAGATGCTCCCCGCTGCTCCCCGCTGCTCCTGTCTCCATCACTGTTTCTCCTTCCTGTCACTCATCGTGTCACCGCCAGAGCCAGGAGCCAGGCCAGGCATAGAGAACATGTCATTGTTTGTTGAGTGAAGCAATGCTCTTGCCTTGATGAAAAAAACATGCACTTTGGATTTTTCTTTACATTGTATTTTTCAAGTGTCCTGTATTTCATATGCATTGCTTTAATAGTTAGGAAAAAAGAAAGAGGGAAAGTAGCCCTGGCACGGGGACACGGGGACGTGAGCAGAAGCGGGGCAGACAGAGGGCCGCTCCTGGTGGGGAGCTGCGGGTGTGCGGGTGCGTGTGGGCCGCGCAGGACCTGACCGTCTGTCACCTCCAGGGACTCAGCCACACGCGCCCCTCTGCCCTGCCCCCACCCCCGTCCCTGGGTCAGGAGGCCTCGGGCGCTGGGGTCTGACGCTTCCAGCCCTGCAGACGCTTGTGCTCCTGCCGCTGTCCTTAGGTCGCCCGACTCTTCTCTTTCTTACCGACCCCTCCTTCCCTGCTGCCTTCTGCAAGCACTCCCCAGGGGGGACATCTGGGTGAGGGGGACTCCCAGCAAGCACCCCCGAGGCCTGCATCTCCAAGCCAGGCCCCCGTAAAACCTCTGGGTTTCGTGGAAATCGGGGATTCACAAAATGCGTATCAGTTTTTATATTATGTGCTTGTATCGTGAGCCCCAAGTACATTTTCACTCCCTAAGGATTTGGGACTAGTGACTGGGCTGAATCTGGGGGGTTTGTCCAGGGTACAATGACACGGGACAGGCCCCCAGCTGGTGACTGACCAGCAGGGAAAGGGACAGATTGCCAACCACAGACATGCAAACCAGATCCCCAACATTCAAGAGGCCGGAGGGAGGATGCCTCAGCCCCTCCCGCTGGGTACTCCACCAGACAGCACACCACCCCATCCTGATCCAGTCCTGCCCCTTCCCTAGGCCCCTCCAGGGTAGCTCCCGGCAAGGACCTAGGAGGCAGGGGTCTGTCATCTCAAGGCCTGTCTCCAGGCTACTGGTCAGTGCTGACAGCCACAGAGGCCAGGCTGGGCCCTGGTCAGGGAACATAGACATCGAGGGGCAGGACGGGGGGTGGGGACCAGAACTGCCATCTTCTGGGCCATCCCCAGAGGGGACATCAGACAGGCAGCTCCCGGGACAAGTGTCCTGACGGGGTCCACAGAGGACAGAGCCTGCTGTCATCTCTGTCACCGCCTACCCCTGGGCCTGGGCATGGTGCCCCCACAAAAGGGACACCCCACTGTGAGCCCAGCATCAAGGACAGACACAAAGAGGACACAGGTGACTATCACCGGGGACCATCTGCATTGCATTGTAGTGGGACGAATGGAGAGACTGGAGGAAGAGTGATCAAACGAATGCAAGAATAGACGAGCAGATGGCTGGCTGGCTGCCTGGCTGGATGGATGGATGTGTGGATGGATGGGTGGAGGGATGGATGGATGGATGGATGGGTGGGTGGGTGGATGGATGGATGGAGGGATGGATGTTAAATGGATGGATGGCTGG